GCAATACACTCATACACATAAAATAAAAATAATAAATAAAATATTAAAGATATTTCAGGCATTGGTCAGATGGGCACACCTCTGGAAATTCCCATATAAAGACTAGATCTTCTGACTCTCACCACAACCTCTTTCCAACAAATACAAGAATTGCCTTATTTTTAAAATTTAATTTGATTGATTTATTTTTATTTTATGTGTATGAGTGTATTGCCTGCATGTATGTAAGTGCACCAGTGTTGTGCAATGCCTGGAAGGCCAGAATAGAGTGATAGATTCCCTGGAACTGGAGTTACAGATGATTGTTAGCCACCATGTGGGTTCTGGGAATCTAACCTAGGTCCTCTGCAAGAGCAGCCAGTGCTCTTAACTGCTGAGCCATCTCTCTAGCCCCTCTGCCTTACTTTTTAAAAGGATTAATGAACTATGGGTTTTTTTTTTAATTGATGAAAAACTGTTGGAACTATATTTCATAAGATATAGAATCCTTTTTGAGGCGAAAAACGGAGACATTTCTGTGAACTGTAGAGGATGAGGTTAATTCAATTAGAGAAAGTGACTGTCTAGCCAGTTGGTAGAAGCAGCCAGCAGAATGTAGGCCATATTGGTGGTGTAATTATTTTAGGTGCTAACAAACGAGAGAAGCATTTTTGATAACTCAGTGGACCAGATGTTAGTTGTGAAGGTCGTGACCTCATTCCCTTCGACTGACTGAAGGCATACTCCCCCATTTCTCCTTCAGTCTTTATGTGCTTATGCATGTGCCCCCATGGTGAGTCTGGTCAGGTCGTTTGAATCCCTTAGGTTTTCAAGTATAATTTTCAGTAGGCATATATGATGGGTAGCTTTCTGATTAAGTTTGTAAAATAAATACTAACATTCATGCTTCAGTTTGCTGTCATGAATGGTACAGATTCAAAGTGGCAGAGGAAATGCCTGGTGCTTCCAGTCAGTATTTCTGAGTATCCAAGTATTGGAAAAATATGCAGACTTATAATCCCTTTAAAACTTATATTGTAGGGGCTGAAGAGCTAGCCCAGTGGTTAAGAGCACTGACTCCCTCTTCTGGTCTCCCTGGGCATTGCCTGACATGAGTGTACTTACATACATGCAGACAATATACTCATAAATAAAAATATACAACATATACAATATACACATAAAATAAAAATAATGAATAAGGGGGCTGGAAAGATGGCTTAGTGGTTATGAGAGCACTGGCTGCTCTTGCAGAAGACTCGAATCCCAGCACCCATAGGGTGACTAACAACTGTCCTAACTCCAGTTCCAGGGGATCCAGAGCCTCTCTGACCTCCACAGGCATTGTATAATATAGGTGCACTTATATACATGCAGGCAATACACTCCATACATGCAAAATTAAAATAATAAAAACTTTAAAAATTGTAATACATTTCTTCCATCCCTCCCTCTCACTCTCTTTCCATTCCACTCTCTGGTATCTGTCTGTCTGTCTGTTATTTGTGTGTGTGTGTGTGTGCATGTATCTCTGTGTATATGGGCACAAGTGTGGTGGTCAGAGGACAACTTTTGGGAGTTGATTCTATTTTGGGTTCCTGGAGTCAAACTCAGATCCTTAGGCTTGTGTGGCAAACACTTTTGCCCACTGAGCCATCTGGCTGGCCCTCTCTCTGGAATTATGAGGCAGAATCTCCCAATGTAGCCCAGGCTGGTCTCTTCTACCTTGGCCTCCTCAGTGCTGGCATTAGAAGATTGCACCACTACACCTGGTTTAACTTATATCCTTTCTTTCAAGATGCGTATGTATGTATGTATGTATGTATGTATGTATGTTTTATTTTATGTGCATAAATGTATTGCCTGCATATATAAGAATGCTCATGGAGGCCAGAAGAGGGTGTCAGATGCCCTGGAATTAGAGTTACAGACAATTGTGAGCCACCATGTGGGTGCAAGAGGAGCCAGTACTGTTAACTGCTGAGCCACCTCTCCAGCCCCAAAGATGCATATTTTAACAGTGCTCTGGCAAAATAGCTCTCCAGAGCTCTCATCTGTTAGTGATGCCGCAGGGGGAGGTCTTTAAATGTCCACAAAGGAGCATTGATTTTATGAGGCTTAATTGCAGAAACCAATCACTGTCCTGGCACCCAAGGTCGGCATCCACCTAACTCTGGCATTCTGTCACAGCTTTGGAACTTGAGTGGAATGCGGGAAGCAGGGCAGCTGCAGGCTGCTGGAGGATGTGTCTTAAGTTAGGTCTGCTAGCAGATGCACACTGTTCATTGTGTGGACATGATAATGCCTCACTGGGGACAATGAACAGGAAAGGGCCATCAATCTTCCTAAACAAATCGAGTGCTTGCCAAACAAATCTACACAACTATTATCCATAGAAAGACTTTCCTGGTACATTTACTGACTTCTGATTGGAAGAAATAAGTTCATAGGGTTATTTTTTAAACACACACACACACACACACACACACACACACACACACACACACACATATATATATATGCCATAGTTTCTGATGAGTTGCCAGGATGAATTTATCATTATTAGGGGATTGTCACCTTTTTTTGAGACAGGGTCTCATGTAGCCCAGGCAGACCTTAAACTTGCTATGCAGCCAGTGATGACCTTGAACTTCTGATCCTTCTGCCTCTACCTCCTGAGCTCTGGTATTATAGGTGAGTGCCACCATGACTGCATTTTGTAGTTTAATCCAGGGTGTAACTACTTGGATTAAACTACATTCTCACCCTCAACTGATTTAAAAAAAAAAAATTATGTGATCCCGGTAATTGGAATTAAAAATTGGCATTATGGCTTAGCAAGTGATGCATCTCTTTCATCTGTCATAATGGGCCTTGTAAAAATTACTACTAATGGTCCTAAGAAAAGAAAAGTGTTTTTTGTAATGGTCCTAAGAAAAGCGAAGTGTTTTTTGTTTGTTTGTTTTGAGTCAGGGTCTCATGTAGCCCAGGATGGGCTTGAACTCACTATGGAACTCATGATGAACTTGAATGTCTGATGTTCCCATCTCTACCTCCCACACTCTTGGATTATAGGCATGTGCCACCATACCTGGCTTCTAAAATGCAAAGTACTGAAATAAAGTGGATTTAGATCTAAAGTTGTGGTTTTAGGCAAAAACTTATCTTTGAATATAAAACCACACTTTGTGTTGGAGGGAAACCTGAACACACATTCTTTTAGGCAAACATTGCCTTTTGTTCATTGTGTGTTCTGTGCCAAGTCGCTAAACAAACCACAGAGGAAGAAAAGCCACCAGAGCAGGCTGGGTGAATAATGGCGGGGGATTCAAGCTGGTTCCTTTTCATTTGCAGCACAGATAGAAGATTTGTCTGGTACAGAAACATGGAAAAGTGTACAAGAAATCAAACATAAGATCAGCTGATCTCTGTTGCAGCAACAAAAGCCCTCAAAACTGCATCTGCACCTAAAGTGGTACAGAGGCACCAATGTTTTAAAATAAATTCTCTGTAATTAGCATGTTTAATGAGATTCATGTATGGAATATTTATAGCTTATGAAATAATTCCTAAGGATTTGGTTTTAGAGACAGCATACCCAATTGTCTGTTATTTTCGGTCAAATGTCACAGATATCCTGAAAATATGTGTAAGACTGAACCATGATCTGGCCATGGTGACTCAACTCCCCTTACGTCTGTAATCCTAGCACCCAGGAGGCTGAGGCAGGAGAACTGCTGTAATTCAAAGCCAGCCTAGGTTACATACCAAGTTCCAGACCAGCCTGAACTACAAACACTCCATCTCAAAAACAGCATTAGAACGGCACTTGGAAGGCAGAGGCAGGTGGATCTCTGTGACTTCAAGGCCAGCCTGGTCTACATAGTGAGTTCCGGGCCCACTGGGGCTACTGGGAGACCCTGTCTCAAAAAGACCAGAAAAAAAAAAAAAAAAAAAAAAAAAAAAAAAAAAAAAAGGAAAAGGAAAAAGCATTAGAAAAGAAAAGAAAAAAAAAAGAAAAAAAAAAGGCTGAACTATGGTTTCCCCAGATCCAGATCCATTTCTGTTTCTGTGTGTCCCTATCACAGGAAATGGGTAATTATAAATCTGCAATGAAAAGTACAAGGGGCTTGTTGTGGTCTGAGGGTGAATGTCCCTATAGACTCATGTGTTTGAACAGTTGGTCTTCAGACGGAGGTGCTATTTTTGAAGGTTATGGAGCCTTTAGGAGGTAGAGCCCTGCTGGAGGAAGTAGGTTACTGGGGGAAGATCTTGAGATGTGCTAGCCTGGCCCCACTTCTGGTATGCTCTCTGCAATGTGACCACCCATCTCAGGCTCCCACCACCATGCCTTTCCCCACCATAATGAACTGTAACCCTTCAAACCATCTCCTCCTGATGATGCTTCTTGTTAGGTGTTTGATTACAGTCACAAGGAAAGTGGCAACACGGGACCTTTAACTGGAGGGGCAGCTGAGGAAAATAGGGACGGGGTGGGAACTGGGTGCAACTTTTAGCCACGTTGACTGAGAGGTTGGGAAGGGCAGATAGAAATTCTCTATGGACAGCTAGCTGTTTAGCTGTCATGTGGGTGCTGGGAACTGAACCCGGGTCCTCTGCAAAAGCAACCAGCGCTCTTAACTACTGAACCATCTCTCTATCCTCTCCCCCCACCCCATCCATGATGCACATGTGGAGGTTAGAAGACAACTTTCTGAAGTCAGTTCTCTCCTTCTATCACGTAGACCTTGGGGCTCAAACTCAGATCATCGAGCTTGGGGGCAAGCGCCTCTACTTGCTGAGCCATCTCTCTGGCCCTGTCTGTCTTTCTTCTTTTCTTCCCTCCCTCCCTCCCTCCTTCCTTCCTCCCTTCATTTCTCTTTCCCTCCCTCTATCCTTCTCTCTCTTTCTCTCTTTTTCTTTCCTTCCTAGACAGGGTCTCATTTTGTAACCCTGGCTGGCCCCAAACAAACACCCAAACAAAAACGAAATGAAAAAAAACAACAAAATCCCATCCAGAATTCATTTGAGTATTTAAACAATTAGAAGTTTACTTTATTTAGAATAAGTTTACAGTTCAAAAATGATATTTACTAAAGCCACAACATTGTTCATAAGGACAAAACTTTTTAGCAAAACCTTGGTACATAAGCATTAGTGATCTGAATACTATCTGTATGTATATTTAAAAAACAGAAATGAAGGATCCCAGGGCTCTCGTAGGCACCATGTATGTATTCCTATTAGTTCCCCAGGCATTGCGCTAGACTTTGTTACATAGGATCCAAGAAGCTGCAGAGTTCTCAGCAGTGTGTGCTGGGAAGAGACGAAGGAAGAACACAGCTGCCTAATCTGAAAAAGCGCGTACTATCTAGACTGGAAAGCAGAACGGAGAGCCAAACCCACAAACGATGCTTCATGTTGTGGAAGTCTGCATCTATGGCTTTTTCGTGTTCATTTCTGAGACTAGTTAGCAAGTCTGGCAAATGCAAAAGCATTTGTCTATATTTAACATTGGAGGCCTCCTGCAGAAGGCAACCTGCTCGGAACTGGAAAACAAAAGTTGAGCTATTCTTGGAGCAAAATTGTGAGGTATTATATAGTCCCGCCCACAACTGGTCAGGCGTGGTGGTGCACACCTTTAATCCTAGCACTTGGGAGGCAGAGACAGGTGTATCTCTGAGTTCAAGGCTAGCCTGGTCTATACAATGAGTTCCAGGGCTACGTAGTGAGACCCTGTCTCAAAAAAAGCTCTTCCCCAACACACCACTACCATCACCACAAAAAACCCATGACTGCTTCCTCCCACTGACTTTTTGGCATAGGGCTATGCAGAAAAGTAAGAGTTTTCAAGCGATGCAGCTGAAAAATATTTAAGATGAATAAATAGAATTTGTTTTTTGTTTATCACCAACTGTGAAGGGTATACAGGTCTGTCAAGGACCAAGAAACTGAGTTTGGTCCTTATATAGAATTTTCTTGTGTTTTTGGAAAAACATAGATTGAAGTATGTATTCATGCTGACAGAATATCCATGCTGCTAAAGGCAAACATGTAGTAAAAATAAGAAAAAGAATCTTATTTTTCAGGGCACAAGACTATTCCACCATATTAAAATTGTCTAAATGGTAAAAACACATACACATTCTCTAAGGGTCCATTTTTTGACTAGCAATTAAATCTAAGTGCAGATGTAAACTGTGCAGTATTTTTACCTGTCAGTTACAGTGTATATGACATGAGGGGAACAGAATCTTTTTTAAATCCGTAGTGCTCACAAATTATCATGTGGAACTAAAAACCACAAACAAATCATGAAGAAATGTTAAATATTTCAAAACGCTCACGAAGGCCGGAAATGCTATTTCCACAGCACAGAACTGTGGGAGGCTGAAACGGAGGCTATGGCAACACCTAGCTCCTTAGGCTGCTTGCTTCTGTTTGATAGAGGAGACTCGGGGAAGGGGCATCTCTGGACCTTAGGCCATGATTTCTGCTGGTTCAGTGACTAGCTTGGATCCATCCCAGATTGTCTTGAATTGCTCAGGAACAGGAAACTCTCTCTGGAAGAAGGCGAGAAGAACAGGATTATTTATACGAAAGGGTTCCTCTTGTAAACAAATAGAAGACTGATGGATGTCATCTGACGGGCAAAGAAAGTGGATTGAACCCCAAACTGCATCACAGAGAGGTCCAGCCACACGCATTTGTTCTATGATTGCATGCCCGGATCATCCTTAGAGCTAGCGTTTATGAAGAACCAGGCTTGTTTCTTGAGACAGGGTCTCATGTACGCGGGCTGGCTTTGAACTAGCTATGTAGTTGATTGAGGATGACTTCAAACTTCTGATCCTCTTGCCATCACCTTCTGAGTGCACGGCACAGGTGTGTGCCACTACACCTGGTTAATATGGTGCTGGGGTTGAACCCAGGGCCTCATGCCTACTAGGCAAGTACTCTACCAAGTGAGCTACATCCCCAGTGCAAATCAGGCATTCTGAGGAGCATCCTGGACACATACTAACTCAAGTGATCTCTGATCCATCAGCTGGGTGTTACCTCGATGCCCTTGGCAGGAAGCAGAGGCCAGAGAGGCCAGCACAATGGCCCAAGGAAAGAGCACCAGGAAATAGGGTGGCCATAAGCCTAGGTGGTCTCTCTTAGCTGCTGCTCTCCATTGGACCTGAACACACACTGAATCAACCCAGGAAGGCTGGGAGGCCCCTCAGCCCTGGTTTCTAGAGCCTCAGGAGACTTCTTGTATACACTTGGGAGAGGCAATTTATGTATCTATTTTGCTGTAATGAATTCTTAAATCTTCAGTAGAACACCCAACACTTTCTGGGTTCAGGGTCTTGCACTATGCAGTCTAGGCTGGCTTTGAACTCACGGATCTTTGCCTCCAACTTCCCAAGCACTGGGACCACAAGTGTGTGCCACCGCCATATTCAGTTTGCCATGGAAAAATCCGAAGTAATTTAATGCATGTTTGCCCAGTGCCACCCAGTTCTTGATGTAAAACAAAGCTTGGTGTTTGTTCTCAACTGGAATGCTCCAGACCTGGGGCTGGGGCTGGAACCCAGGGATCTCCTGCAGGCCAGGTACTCACCCTATCACTGAGCCCCAGCTCCAACCCTAAGGGCGGCTCTTTGACAGTAATGCACATGCGCAGCAGCTATTCTCAACTTTCCCTGGCAGTGAAGAGAGAGCCGCATGACCCATCCTCTCTGGAAGGCTGGTTTCTTTCAGCACAAAGCATGCTCATCATCTAGTCCCACATCCCAACACTCATGTCAGGGCCTCTGTATTGTTCCCTGCCACCTCCTACTGGAAAACGAAAATGTGTAAAGAGGCCCCAGGACTCAAGGGCCCAAGGTCATTGTCCCAAGCAGGAGAGACTATGTTCAAGCTCAGGCTTTGATTATATTCATTCTCTAAGCTGTGGGTCTCAGTCTTGGCTCCACATTGGAATCTATTTGGAAATCTTTAACAATTAAAGATCCAGTTCACACACAACTGAACCTTCTGCTTAAACAGCTGTAATTTCAGGGATGGCCTAGTGTGTTGCTTCCTGCTCTGCTCTCCTTCTAAGAAGGGACACCTGTCTAGTTCGGCTTAGACTCTCCATCCCCCAGGTGGTGAAGCACGGCCCACTGCTTGCAGGCTGTTTTAAACTCAGATGAGGAATTCTAGGTTATAGCATGTGGTATGTGGCTTGGTAGGGCTGAATAACATGCTGGGAAAGGAATGTGCTTCAGCTGTCATGTTGTCTGGTCAAGATGAACGTGCCTGTCGATCACAGTGTACAAAGTTGGCATCTGACCCCTCTGGCTGATGTGGCCTCTCTTCCAAAAGCATGCCAGCTAAGGCTCTTGATTTGCGGGTCCCACCTGTGCAGTTAGACTCAGAACTATCTCTATATTTTCCTACTTTCATGTAAGACCAACCAGCAGATCTGCCATAACTCACAATCCAAAAATGCCATTTATTTAATTTTAACTTCCATGTGTGAGAGTATCTGTACTGTTCTTTTAGAAGTGACTTTATTTGGGAGAAGACGTAAGGAAAAAAATGCTGTCTAAATTATTTGGGCTAGCGTATCTAAGTGGGGAATTTGATGGACTGATGGTGTGAAAACTCTCCTGTGGACCTGTTAAGAATCCAGATTCTGGGGCTGGGGAGGTGGCTCAGTGGGTAAACTGCTTGTTGTGGGAGCAGGAGGACCTGAATTCAGACCCCCAAAACTCATGTGTAAAGCTGGATGCTATATTGTGTTTCTGTAATCCTAATAATCGATCCCAGGACAGGACGAGGCGACAGGAGAATCCCAGACGCTCCTGACTGTCGCGTAGGCAGTGGAAGGTGAGGACCAGCACCTGAAATTGCCTTCTGATCTCCACACGTGCTGTGTCATGATTA